GGGGAAGGGGGAAGGTGACGTCGTTGACGTAAAATCATCGATCTGACCGACCCCGGGAAATTCAGATTTATTCCCTTTATCAAATTTATTCCATCAAGTTTCGAACCCTGCCCCCGTGTGTCATCCACGGTAAGAACAGAAATGAAGAATTAATTTAATTAAATTGAAAAACAAAAATGAATTAAGATTCCATCGAGGTCTGTTTATCTCAGCATAAACAGACCTGAGTTCGAACCCGTTCGTGGGTGTTCCTTTCTCAGCGACATGGGCTGGATTGCTGGTTGTTTTTTTTGTTTTGTTTTTTTTGTTTTTTTGGATGCTGGTTGGTTTTAACTTATATAAGTCTTAACTTTTAAAAAATACGTAATTATTGAAAAAACGTTTTCACCGAGTTGTTGAAATTTGAAAATATGCACCTGAGTTCGAGTCCTGGTGCGATAAGATGAACATAGCATATACTGTAATTCTGATTTTTTTGGGCCCGGTCGGTTCAACGATGATATCCTCAAGAAAAAGAAGGATAATTTGCATATTTTGTGACTTAAAAAAAAAGAAAAAAAAGAAAAAGAAAAAAAAGAAAAAGAAAAAAAAGAAAAAGAAAAAGAAAAAGAAGGAAAAAAAAAACACATTGTATGTACACGGTTTGCATAAAAGAGTTCTTTTTTTTCACCCACATTTGTACATAAAAAAGTTTTTTTTAAACCTTCGTATTACTTTAAAAAACCCGGGGTGCAAAGCAGAGTGTGTGCGGAGCCTGCTCTTCTTTTTATTATAGTTTTATTGTTTTACTGTTTTGTAACTTTTACAGTAATTAAATTAAATAAAAGAAAAAGGGGATAATTTGCAAGACACCCCGGGCCCATAAGTTGAGAGATATGCCACATCTTTCAGGGGCATTAAATTTTTGGCATGCATCTCAACTTATGGGGGTATTTTGCAAATTATCCCCCCAAAAAACTGATTGCATGCATAAAGAGTTTTACGTATTACTGTAAAAMAMAGGGWCRAMAWAGTCTTGCGGGGAAAAAAAAAAAAAAAAAAAAAAAAAAAAAACGGTTCGAATTTTTTTTKTWTTTTTTTTTTTTWTYKTTCGAAATTCTGCATACTAGACAGTTGCTTGCGAACCCGCTTCCGCTTTTTCTTTCCTCTTTTTTTTTGCTCAACTTCGGTCTTCCGTGTCTGCACCTCTCCAAGAACATGTCCAGATTCATCCCCCGTTGCATCCCATTCTCTCTCCAGCATCCCCCGTTGCATCCCATTCTCTCTCCAGCAAACGTTTGTGCTTTTCCGTTATATATATGACAGACCTTTCTTTGTTTCGTGGGTGTTTTGCTGGCTTGTGATGGGGTGAACCGACAGTCTGTAGAGTTTTCCATCTGGTGTGGGTGAGTGATAGTCTACTTTGATTTTGGTTAAGGT